GTAATTGAAGCGTCTGTCTAATGTATCAATAATTGGTTCGTTTACCGTCGTTTGATAATCGCTTGTTAATATATTGAGAATTTTTGTATTAGGCTTTTGTATTTACAGTGCAATACGAAGGCGGAACTGTAAATGTTGCGCAAGAAAATAGTAGTAGTAAACAGGACGGCTCCAACAACGAGCGCAGCGACGACACTATCGAGCGTTACACCGGCAGCAGTGCTACTCCCGCCACCCCCGACAGCGCCGCCGAGAGAAGCAACAGCGACGACATCACCGCCGAGCGTTACACCGGCAGTGCTACTCCCGCCACCCCCGACAGCTGCCAATGACGAGAGAAGCGAAAAGATCGGTGAAAATAATAATAATTATACATGTATTGTATTACGGACGGAACACGCGCGTAGATTTAAGAAATTCGGGGTAATAGGGAAAGAGGCGACATTTGAGATCCGTGAAATTCAGCCTGGTGCTGAAATAAATAGTAGAATGGAGGGTGCATTTCGCGAAATTCACAGATACGCGACAAATTTATCGGAGCCGAATGATTACGTTGGGGTGTGGTTCGCCTCCCCGACTTTGACCAACGGTGCAGCGGGTCTTTCTTTTCGTCCTGCGCGTGACTTGACTTACGAGAATATTTGGTCTCTCGTGAGTTCACTTGCACAAAGTAACGGAGGGATAGACATTGCTACGTCGTTTACGATACGCGTATGCACCGTCTACTCTCCGTCGGGCAAAAGAGGCCGTCCTTTGGGCGTGGAAGGAATCGAGAAACGAACGCTCGATTTTTTCAATAACGAATAGCGACAACCTCTGTTTCCCTCGCTCACTCGTTGCCGCTCGGGTATACCTCGAACGAGGTAACACCCGCACGGGCGAGCTACATGAGCGATGGAATGCAATGAGACGTTCGAACTCCTCCTTACAACGCCAATGGGCACAGGAGTTGGTGGAGAGAGCAGGCGTCACAATTCCGGAAGAGGGCTGTGGTATTGAGAAAATTGAGCGATTTCAGCGGTACCTTGCCGGGGAGAGGTTAGCTATAATTGTTTACGCCTCGTCTACTTTCGCGAAAGGCGGAAAACCATTGTACGACGGTAGTGCGTTGCTCGCCTCTCTCGGACGCGAATCCTTGCTACGTTTAAATATTCTTTATTGCGAGGGTTCGCGTCACTATTGCCCGATTTTAAATTTAAGAGCGGTGGCGGGGAGCAGGAGATACTGCATTCTTTGCAACCTGTTTTATCGTCCCGAACAAGGAGTTCATCGATGCTCGCATAAATGTCCGCGTTGTCGCGGTGTGCCGTCGTGCAAAACAAAAGAAGTAGAATTAATTCGATGCGAGCAATGTAAGAGAATGTTTTACGGGCGCGAGTGTTTCGAGCGTCACCGAGCCGAAAAATCGTACGGAGACGGTCGCGTGAGCGTGTGGAGCGCCTTGCAATTTTATGACAATTGCGGGCGTTTGTACAGAACAGCGAGTGCGAGGCACGAATGCGGCGTCGTGTTTTGTAACATTTGCAGTTCGCGTCAAGATGTAAACCATCTTTGTTATATTCGACCTCTTACACGCGAAAATTTCACCGGCAAAGGGAAAAACGCACGCGTCGCATTCGTGATCTACAATTTCAACACCCGACAAGATGAGACGCTCGAAAATACAGCGTCTGTGAAAATTCACGTGCCCACTCTTTGCGTCGCACAGCAGATTTGCGTCGCGTGTGCGGGCGAGGACGACATGACGGTACGTTGCCGGTGGTGCGGTGTGCGCGAATTCGTGTTCCGCGATGATCCGGTGAGGCAATTCGTCGATTTCATTACGAGAACGACAAAATGTTTCAAGCAGATTATCTGCTTTGCGCACAACGCCAAGGCGTTTGACGCGCAGTTCATCCTTCGTTACATCACGGAAAAACGTGTCGATTTGGATCCACGAGTAATATTAAACGGGACGAAGATTGTCGTATTAACGGCCGGGCGTACGAAATTTATTGAGAGTATCAACTATATGCCAATGCGTTTGTCAGCTCTGCCGAAGGCTTTCGGTTTGCGGGGTGGGGTGGAAAAGGGATATTTTCCACATTTATTTAACACACTCGTGAATCAGTCGTACGTCGGTCCGTTACCAGCCGTTGAATATTANTCGCCGGATAGTATGTCTAGCGAAGAACGCGAACGTTTTTTGTCGTGGCACGCGGAACAGATGCGCGAAAACGCNGTTTTTGACTTTCAACGCGAGATAGTTCGTTATTGTCGTAACGACGTTGATATCTTGCGGCAAGCGTGCATGGCTTTCCGCAAAATATTTCTCGAGCGCGGAAACGTATGTCCGTTCAAAGAATGCACGACCATCGCTTCCACATGTATGCGCATTTTCCGCAAAAACTTTTTACATGAGGAAGAGATCGGCGTCATTCCTCGCGGCGGATATCGCCTCGCGGATACGCAATCCCGCAAAGCTCTGCAGTGGCTGGTGTGGAAGGAGCGCAAGCTCGGCCGCATCATTGTTCACGCGGGTCATGGGCGAGAACATCGTCTCGCGGAAGTCGGAGGCATTCCCGTCGACGGGTATTACGAGACGGCGAACGGTGAGCGTCACGTGTTGCAATACCACGGCTGCTTTTGGCCCGGGTGTCCCGTGTGTTTTCAAACAGAACGCGACAAACGTCTCTGCACGGGGGAACGCGAAATGTACGACACGATGAACTCGCGATACGAGCATACACTGACAACGTCATGGCGTCTCCGCAAACGAGGGTACATCGTGACGGAGAAATGGGAGTGCGCTTTTGATCGCGATACGCGGGAAAATCGCGAAATGCGAGCGTTTTTACACCAACATCCGATGCTCGCGGCTTAACCGCTTTCACCGCGTGACGCGTTTTTCGGCGGTCGAACGGGAAACATCGCGATTCGGCGCGAAGTTACGGGTACGGAGAAAATACGTTACGTAGACGTGTGTTCTCTATATCCTTACGTGTTGAAAACCGGCGCTTTCCCCATTGGACATCCGAAAATTCTTGTCGGACAAAAAAAGTGCGCCTCGCTCATGGGACTCCCGTACCGTGTCCAGGGCAAACTGCTGTTTGTCTTGTGCTGCAGTTGCTGCGAAAACTTCTCGCAGACACAGTGCTCGCACGAAAATCCGCGCGATCGTGAATTCGAAGTCGTGTGGGTATCGTGTGAATTACGCAAAGCTGTGGAGAAGTGTTATTTCGTGATTGCAGTGAGCGAGATATGGCAATACGAGACGAGCCGATACGACGCTGATACGCGTCAAGGGGGATTATTTGCCGAATACATAAACTGTTTTCTGAAATTGAAGCAAGAGGCGAGCGGATGGCCAAGCGAATGCGTGGACGACCAATCTAAAGAACACTATCTTCGAGAATACAAAGCAGTCGAGGGTATCGCTCTAGATAGAGCAAACATTGCGCAAAATCCGGGTTTACACTCAGTCGCAAAGCTGTGCCTCAATTCGTTTTGAGGAAAATTCGGGCAACGATCGAACTTGACGAGTACCGAGGTGGTAAAGTGGCAATAACGTCTCGTATCGCTATTGTCGAGCCCCGAGCACGAGGTAACCGATATACACAGTTTGTCCGGAAAGTTCCCGGACT